ATATTTTTCTATTACAAAATATGCCTTGCAAGACCCAGTTTACATTTTGTTTCACCCACTGGTAGTTCATATTTTCTTAGAAATTTGAGCTTCAGGGATCTGGATTTCTAAAATAAGAACTGAACAGCAGGAAAGGAGAGAATGCTAATTGGATTAAATATGTTTGCAGAAATAAAAGACAGAAAAAATTAATAGTTTCTAAAAGGAGAGCTTTTATAAAACTAGAATTTATAAAGGAACTAAGATTAAATTTAGGCTATTGGGAAGATATTTTGATGGCAACATGAATTAAGCTGTGGTATTCTCTACCGGGGAAGTGGTGGAAGCCTTACTACTTGGAAATTTTAACAGTAGCAAGAGCAAGATATTATAAAACATTGTTTTTCTTTGTAAAACTTCCTCCAAAATACACCAAAAACATATTTGAAAAAACGTATGTCCCGCACTTTCAAGAAATTAAAATATTCACTGGGATTGTGTGGTGTGTGTGGGAAACCTGCTAATGCCAAGGGGGAAAGCTTTGGACTTCACCTTGTTTGGTATCAAATCAAGTATTGCTGTTTTATTGATACTCAGAGGCAGCAACTAACAATGACACGTTTTGGGGGACATCCCATAATATGAAAACAATTTCTCGTCTGTACATTTTTCTCTTTAGACCAGAGCGATAAGGTGTTGCTGAGGGGGAAGGAGTTGTACAACTCCACAACCTTGTTTTTGTAACGTGTTTGTGGGCTGATTTTCCAGAAATTTGTGTAGCTGTTTTAAAAATACGGATTTTTTTTTAAGAGGTTTCTGTTTTCAGGAATTCTTTTATACAGCTGCTGAATATACCAAGTAGTGAGAAACATGCATAACGTGTAGGGAACTTGTGAATTCACTGCTGCAGGAGGTTATTGAAGTAATAGTACAGATACATTTCAAGAAAAAGACAATTATAAGCTACACCATTTGTTACTTAGGAATTCTAAGAGAAGGGACAATGAGCTATCATATGTCAGCTGTAATATGACCACCTCAGGACTCAAATTTTCCTCCTGTTTCCCTCCCCCAATCTAGGTATACTTTTGCACAACTCAAGAGTGGTATTATAGTAGGCGTCTTTTGCATGCTTTGGAAACATCAAGTATGGGAAACTGCAGGTAGCTGGTTGAAGGAGAAGCTAGATAATAGTTGGATGCCTTGAAGCAGATCCTGCATTTCCGACAGGATGCAAAAAAATCTGCATGGTAACTAGTCTGTTCCCATAAGTCAATGTGAAGCATAGGCTAAACTTCCCTATTATATTGCAAAGTAGTGTTGTTATTTTGTTTAGCAAATGAATTAAGCTGTACGTGTATAAAGCAATTGACATAGTTCTATTCGAAACACTTACTATTCAAATAGACTGATTTTTCACAATACATTACTGATTTCTGTATAAACGGAAAATGCTTATTCCAGGAAATGCAAATGCAATAGACAAACATAGTTATCTATTAACAAACATTCAGGATAAACACAAGCAGCCCTTTTAATACTAGTATTCTTTAATACGGAATAGATTTTCCCGGGAGTATCCAACAAGCATTAGGTGAAATAAATGGACTGTTTTCTCCACTAACCCTCTTAAGTTGCTTTATAAAACTTCTCTCAAATTTATCACGAGCAAAAATGTAGAAGTAATTCTAGACGCCATCTTCATTTAAAGACTAAATGCCATCCCTTTAGTGCCTCATGTTATTGCAATTTTCAGAGTACCATACACGTTATTTTTTCTGACATCAGCTACATGCAAGAAAAGTCTCAGTCATCTAAACAAGCAGAGTAAATCTCAAAAAGGAAATACTTATATCCTTGGCTTGCTTACCTATTTTTGTTCAAAACCGTCAGTAGTGTCATTGCAGCAACTGCACCAAGAACTACTTTAAAAATACAAAAAAAAGAGCAATTTAGTAACAAAGTTAAATAAAACAACATTTTGCGAAAAGACAATTCTGAATCTCCACAGTTCTGGAACTTGCTCTCATCATCACTAACAGATTATCTGTATCATAGGACACAATTTTTTCCTTATGATGATAAATAAGCCCCTCTCATATACAGATCAAACATCACAAGAACTCTCTACCTTAATCCAGAAAGAGGCTCTGATGTTGGATCTCCTAATTTATCAAGTCTTTAACGCTTCTGTGTACAGCTTAAGGATTGTCTAGATTCCTAGCTCATCCAGAGTAATGCTCAGTATTCAATCTACTCCAAGATGTTCAAGCTTAAATTCAACTTCTTCCCTTCAGTCCCCTGCAAGGTGTTGAAGTTCTCCACCAAAGAGTCATAGAATGTATTATGTTCAATCTCTAGTATGGCTTGCTTGATTTCTTCCCCAACAGATATAATAAAGAAGCTACCAAATTCATCGGATTCTCTCTCAGTCTTGAACCTTAAAATGAAAACTTCTACCAATCTGTCTACTTTGGGGTCATACTGAGCTAATTAAAACCATATTTCAATTCTGCTATTGAGATTTGAGCACAGTTTCCCCAATCGGTACACACTGGGTCAGCTGCATCTTAGAGCCATGTGACAGGGATGTAGGTTACGGAATGATTTGGGTTGGCATATTCTCAGAGGGAGATCACAGTCTCCAATGATCAGGCAAGTGCTAGAACCCTGCTTGTGACAGCTCCAAATGGATAGTGGTTTTATGATCTTCTCCTTGACAACAATACTCTATGACCGAACACCTATTGACTTCCATGGGACTTAGGCATTTGCTGAAGTGCTTTGGTGAACAGGTTCATACATAGGGAACAGTCTACTCCCCAAGGTTAAGCTACATTGTCTGTGGGAATTCTGGGAGAGAAGGGGGAAATGTGTTCTGAATAGACGAGCATGATGACTGAACAATCAAGATCTGTTATGTGGAGAACACTACAGGCTGACTAACTCTGGATCCCGAGAACTTCAGTAACAGCCTTCTAATTTCCTGTAAAATATGAGACTATCAAATCTAACCTACAAAGCGATTTCTTGGCTCTTTTTATAACTTCCCTTCCTAGCTTTTGCCCTTTCCATTTTTGGTAGGCACTAGACATGCATACACAGTCCTAAGTGGTGAGGAAGTATTCTCACCCAAAACAGAACTACACAATTGAACCTTTTCTTGATCTCCCTGGGGGATAAAGAAATGAGATTCTTCATTCCCCTTTTCACCCATCAATACTGTGCAGATATATTTCAGATAAAATCACAGCAGACTGCCTAGCTCAGGCAAATATTGTGAAGAGAAAACAGCTAAGAGCAGGAATACAAGCTTCTCTCCAGAGAATGGCAGTGCTTTTACATGGCACCACAGCACGTTAGAAATGGCAGACAAGTTCAAGAACCCTAAATCCCAGGGTCTTTAGTACCAGTAATTAAGTAGGTGGAAAACATTATGAGATGGAGAAAGGGCAATATTAAAATAGCCTTGACTCCAGATCTTAAAACCGTCATAGCTCTAGTGCATTGAATGATTTTTTTTCAGTTTTAAGTTACTTACCAATACCAATACTGGTGCCAATGCCTATGTCAATGCGTATGCCAAGCCCTAAAGAGAGAAACAAAAAATGTGAGCTAAAATATAAATTCATATCAATAATCTACAGGAACTCATCCACAATCCATGCATATGAAGCTACACTTCGTACCCTAGATTATACCAGCTATTAATGAACAATTAAGGTAGTCACATAAACACCACCATTCTAAAATGGATAATCATTAGCTGTTGGAAACCATGATCTCACCCCTAGAGAACTTCATAATGAAGCAAAGCAGCTTTTCAAAGGATTGTACACATTTGTAACTTGTAATACCAATAGGAAAACCATTGTGTAAATGGAGGACGCAATCTGGGTTTAAAGGTTTTCTATAATATGAACCACTGGATGTTAAAGGTTCTCTTGCACATGCTTCTAGGCTCTCATTTACCAAGCCTGCACTGGCCAGTCATACGTTTGCCAAAATGCTAAGAAAGGCCAGAATCATTATAATCAGCTTGTCTAGACCAGGTAGCACAATTTTTGCCCTAGTGTATCATCATAGGTTAGTGTTATGTTATCTGGTATCACAGATATAAAGAGTGCTGTAATCTGTATTTCTAATTACCCAAATAGATTGTTTCAAGGGACAGACTTTTGCTGTTCTTACTAGAATAAGATCATTTATCGTCTAACCACTGGCTGTGGAAGATACTGAATAGCTAATTAATTCCTTGTCACAGACTGCTTAGAACTACAATCATTGACATCAACGAGTTTTGCATTTAGAAATCAGACTCATGTTAAAGGAATGTTCAGACTAACATTTTAAGGGAAACACATGAAAGATTAAAATAGCACTCCCGACCTTCATTGTTACTCTGAAGTGGCTTTTCAATGGCTCCTGGAAATTTTGAACCCTATTTACCCTCAAAAAATACAACACTGACAAATGTATAGCCTTTAATGTTAATAATGTTAATCTGAAAAATGGAGTGTACATATTCATTTATGCCCATATTGTTCATCATTACTGTAGGTTTCATAGTGTTGGCAGAAATATGCAGTTTGGTCATTAAAGTTTGTTGTTGTTTTTGTGGTTGAAATAAAGCCCAATGAAAAACATTTTAAAACCAGGCAGGAAACTGGTTGTTGGGGGAAAAGGAGGTAGAAAAACACAATCACTGCAGAAAAAGAAATCCAGTTGAGTTAGAAACAAATTTGTAGCTGTGGTCCCCCTAAAGTACTGACTAGAAGCGAGGGCTTTTTAGTTCGCTTTTGGCAGAAATTCACTGTGATTCCAATCTCATGCACATAATTCAGCCACATGGATCAGCAACATTCAGGGGTTCCTTAGTGTGATAGACTTGAAAAACAATTGAAAGGATGTGGCCAGTTCCAGTTCTGAAGCTCCCTCCAGCCAGGCTTCCCTGCTCACCACACGCATTGTGCTACCCAATCTAACAGCTCAAGTGTTTCTCTCTCCCCTCAGTACTTCACCTCCACCTTCAGGTACAGTAGAGTTGCCAGCTGTGTTCAGTGCAGAACCTGTACAGAAAAGAAAGTTTTATAAAATACTTGAGGTGCTCTCCACACAACTGACTATTTTAAATAACAAAAATCCAGCAGAGATTCCAGGCACGTAAAGAAATCAACACCCACAAACAGACTGGAGTGAAATTTACCTTGCCAAGCGTAGGACAAAACATATTGAATTTTAAAGAATCAAATCCACAACTGCTCATATTCTCCCCCCAAGACATTTGAAGAAAAGCCCCCAAGCATGGGGGGCCCCACTGTGCTAAACGCTCTAGAACCACACAACAAAAAGGAGGTCCCTGCCCCCATTGCTCTCATTACAGCTGCCATCAATCAGCCCAGACAATAATATTCCTTACCCATGGTATTGGCCACGTCACTCTCCTTTTAGAATCATAGAATATCAGAGGAATGGGCCAAGGTCAGAGCGCTGTGGGAATCTTTTGGAAAGTGGAAGAGGAAGAAGGACCCACCAAAAGAAATGGTGTAGGAACAATGAGAGAGGCAGGAAAACCAGGACAGCATGGAGTGTGCAAATGAACAACAAGCTCTCTGTCAAGTTTTTAGGCAAGCACTAGGTGAGCACCATCATATTTACAACTGTGAATAGCAGAATTATAGAAATTAAAATGACCCTCACACTGTACATTTCATTTTTATTCAAGTGGAAATTTGAACCCAAAACTCTAGACTTTTAGCAAATCCAAGTTCTTCCAATTTACCTGAGGAAGTACCAGCTACTTCTGTTCCTTTGGGAGGGACAGTCGTGGGTTTGTCCTGGATAATTATGACTAAGGAAAAAGAAGAGGAAAAGGCAGTTATGAACATTACATCAGCCTCCCATCACCAGCTGGCCATTCAGAGTCAGGAACTTGCCAAACTAATGTTTCCTTTACAAAAGTTCTCTCTCTCTCTCTCTCTCTTTTTTAAGAGCTGTAACAGTTCCGTGGTTTGCAGCAGGGATGTGAAAGGCTCAGTATGGTGCCTCTGCTGCCACCATGAGTTGCAATCTGCCAAAATCTGTCATTTCCCTTCAGTTTTACTCATCAAAACTTCCTAGAGTGACTTCTAAAACCCCTGAACTTGCTGTTCTCACTGAGCATTCGCTGCAAGGTGTTGCCATGTGCAACTCAGAACTGTGCATCTCCATCCCTCACATCAACATATCCTTTGGCCTAGGAGAAGGTGCACCGTGTTGGGAATCAGGAGATGATGAGTTCAACTCTCATTATTTCTACTGACTGATGTTAACGATTCTGTGCCCTTCAAAACCCAAGCTATCACTGAGCCACCCATCCTTTCTGAATGAAAGTTACACAAGCTAAGAAAAGAATCTAGATCTCTAATATGGCACACCCAAGTCTCATCCACTTAGCCTAACCGAAAGAATTTGCCAAATCTATATATTTGGTTACGCGGTGTGTACAATGAGGCTATTCGTGCATATATAATCCATTGTCTTACTGTGTTGTGCATCCTCCTCTAGTGGTTGATCTATATAACAATTTACTGTTGCTGCCACCTATTATAATAGTTCTTTAACTTGATAGAGCTCTATGCTGCAGTACCTTAGATTAAACAATCCCTTAGCCCGAGCCCCTGGCAGAAATTCAATGTGATTCCAATTTCATGCACATAATTCAGCACGTGGATCAGCAACATTCAGGGGTTCCTTAGTGTAATAGATTTGAAAAACAATTGAAAGGATGTGGCCAGCTCCAGTTCTGAAGCTCTCTACAGCCAGGCTTCCCTGCTCACCACACGCATTGCGCTACCCAGTCTAACAGCTCAAGTGTTTTCTCTCTCCCCTCACTACCTCACCTCCACCTTCAGGCTCAGTAGAGATGCCAGCTGTGTTCAATGCAGAACCTGTACAGAAAAGAGTTTTATTAAATACTTGAGGTGCTCTCCACACAACTATTTTAAATACCAAAAAGCCGGCAGAGATTCCAGGCATGTAAAGACATCAACACCCACAAACAGACTGGAGTCAGATTTACATTGCCAAAACATACTGATTTGAAAGAATCAAATCCACAACTGCTCATATTCTCCCCCCAAGACATTTGAAGAAAAGCCCCCAAGCATACCAGGGAAAGCACTGTCAGGCTGAATAACTGCTGGAGTCAACCCCCTCCCAATGTAATATCCACTTCATTGTATCTAATTTTTGCTCTGTGGGGTATACGGTCAAGTCTGCACAAAGCAGAAGATCCACACGCATTAGGTGCATTACCCCTATCGTCATTCCAAGAGCTAATTCTCTCAGCTGTAAATTATCTACTCCTGAATTCTCATCCTTGGGATAACCGTATGGATTTGGAGACTAACTGTCTTTGTCCCAGGAAAATCTACACCCAAGAAAGAGAGATTGTGCCACTGAAATGATCAGTGCTTGGACGCCATAGAGCGATGGAAGTTTTTCACACGCCGCCCTCTACTGCAGCCAATAGTGTTGTTATTAGTTGAGTTGCAATAGCGTGTGAGGGCTCAAGTCATGACTCGGGGCCCCACTGTGCTAAGCGCTGTAGAACCACACAACAAAAAGGAGATCCCTGCCCCCATTGCTCTCATTAGAGCTGCCATCAATCTGCCCAGACAATAATATTCCTTACCCACCATATTGGCCACGTCACTCTCCTTTTGAGAGGAATTGGCCAAGGTCAGAGCGCTGTGGGAATCCTTTGGAAAGTGGAAAGGGGAGCAGAACCCACTAAAAGAAATGGTGCAGGAACAATGAGGTAGGAAATCCAGGAGAGCACCAAGTCACCAATGCCAAGGGAGGACACTGCTTTATGAGTGGCATAACTGAGAGAAAGAGGACAGATTAGAAGCCCTAAAATTCAGCCATAAAGATGTCCTGGAAGACTAAAAGCATCAAAGAGCTTAAAATCCCAACTGTCGTTTGCCCCTGGCAGTAAAACATGGGTCACACAGCTTTGCTTTAAACTTCCCAGATGCAAACCTCCCAATATTTAAGAAGTCCCACCTGCACACACACACCCAAATCATTTTTAGCTGTTTGTTCTGTTGGTTTACATCTGTTTCTGTACTTATGGGTATGACCTCTTGCCAGACATGTAAGTACACTAAAAACAGAGATGCCATAGAATTAATCCAAATAACCCAAAGCCAAGCAGCACCTCTTTTCTATTCTCTCTGCCACTGAACTAAAACCACAGAACAAAAACTCCATTCCTGAGTCACACGGAACCTAACTAAAACAAGCACGCTAAACTAAATGTTTATACTTTGTTGGGGGTAAAAATTGTGAAATCTGCACTAATAGGCAACAGTGTCCAATAGTGGTTACTTTAAATATCCTTAGTCTGTTTCCAGGGCAATTTCTTTCAGCCTTTAAAGAATCATCTCTGCCTAGTGACCAATTTTTGCATGGACACTTATGACTCATTTCACTTAGGTTGCCAGCATCCAAACCTGCCAATAGCTAGTGACAGAACATGGTTTTGGTTATGGTTAAACTGTACATTCACTGGGTTAAAGTGAATTTCTTCTTTAGACTGTTCTTTCCTCTCTTATTAGTGCAGGTTGAGAGCTTTTATGATTCTGGACCCATTTATTTGGGGGCAGGAATGCATCACTACCTACATTGTCAGCTGCTAAACTCTTCTTCTGACGTGCCTATCTGAGTAAACATACAAATGCTCACAAACCAAGGAAGGTAGTACGCTATCTGGGAAAAAAGACGTAATCAGTGCTGGGGTGAATGTGCAAATGAACAAAAAGCTCTCTGTCAAGTTTTTAGGCAAGTACTAAGTGAGCATCATCATCTTTGCACCTGTGAATAGCTAAATTATAGAAATTAAAATGACCCTCACACTGTACATTTCATTTTTATTCAAGTGGAAATTTGAACCCAAAAGTCCAGACTTTTAGCAAATCCAAGTTCTTCCAATTTACCTGAGGCAGTACCAGCTACTTCTGCTCCTTCAGGAGGGACAGTTGTGGGTTTGTCCTGGGTAATTATGACTAAGGCAAAAAGAAGAGGGAAAAGCAGTTATGAACATTACACCAGTCTCCCATCACCAGCTGGCCACTCAGAGCCAGGAGTTTGCCAAACTAATGTTCAGGAATCTGCATCTTTAGAGACAAGACAGACTTATCCCACTTACACGTTGTCACAGGGAGAGCCCCTGTACTATCAGTTGGGCTACCCCTGTAGACTGCTGCTGGGATCCCATTCCTATATTCTAGGGGAAGCCCAAAGCAACCCCTACCTTGAGCTGCCTACCACTTTCCTTTACAAAAGTTCTCTTTTTCTTTTCTTTTTTCAAGAGCTCTAACACTTCCATGGTTTGCAGCAGGGATGTGAAAGGATCAGGGCATCACCTTTTGCTGTCACCATGAGTTAGATGTTAACAGTTTGTGTCATTTCCCTTCAGTTTTACTCATCAGAACTTGCTAGAGTGACTTCTAAAGTCCCCTGAACATGCTGTTTTCACTGAGCATTCTCTGCAAGTTCTTGCCGTGGGCAACTCAGCACTATGCCTCATTCTCTCTTGCATCAAAATACCCTTTGGCCTAGGAGAAGGTGCACCATGTTGGGAACCAGGAGACGAGGAATTCAACTCATTTTTTTCCACTGACTGATGTTAACAATCCTGTGCCCTTCAAACCCCAAGTTATCACTGAACAAGGCATCCTCTCTGAATGAAAGTTACACAAGACAGGAAGAGAACCCAGATCTCGTAAAATAAGGCTACTCGTTCATACAAAACTCATTGTTTGAGTGTGTTGTGCATCCTCCTCTAGTGGTTGGTCCTCAGATAACAGTTTACTCCTGCTGCCACCTATTAAAATTTGTTCATTAGCTTATGTGATATGCTGCAGTGCTGTAGGTTCAAGAGTCAAACCCTGATGACACATGGAGTCAGAGGATGGTGTATTATATTTACATATAGATTTATTTTTTTATAGAAAGCTCAGAAGTTACGTAAAACCCACAGTAGAAAAAGGTTATTCAAGTTGTGAAGTGAGCACTCAGAAGTTAGAAAATGATTAAATTAAGGTTACCTATGCAATCTTAACTCTTCCTCCTTGGGTGTATGTGAATTGTCAGCATTCTTTAAGGATTAAAGTTTCTAACAGCAACTACGTTTCCCACAAGTTATATATTTAAATGATTAATGCCTAACTGAATTTCCTCATGTTTATGGGTTTGCCTAGCAATCAAAATATTGTTTTATCTGGTGGGAGAAAGTAGAATAAGAGGAAGATAAAACCAGACAGTCACCTTTGCATTCAGGGGCAGACCCGTTCCAGACTCCATTGATGTTATCTCTAGTTGTACAGTAAATGGAGGCCTCTCCAGTAAGTGAAAAATTATGGTCACATTTGTAAGTTATCGATGAGTTATAGTCAAGGCTTTCCAGGTGACTGCCATTGTACATCCCATTGGTAATATTAGGAGGAGGAGAACAAGTAATCACTGAAAGAAAAGGGAATGGCATCATGAATATTAATGCACATTTCAGTTAGAGGTGAATTGAAAATATTGAGTAAACCTTTCTCCATGATCTCCCCTAAAAGGGAAAAACCATTTAGCTATTTGAAAATATAATTAGCACTGTATTGTAACATAATGCAAGGCATTATCTCCCTCAGAGTCTGAGGGCTTTCTGCTTTCAAGCTTTTCTCCAAGCCAACTCCTTTCTTCTAGCAGATTTTGACCCTATGAAACAAACCTCAAGAGACAACCTTATCAGAACATACACCCCCCTCTAATAACAGACAGAAGGAGCTGGGGCTCCTTGACTGACATCCTTGAAGGACAATGTTGCGCTCCTACAAGTGCCAGAAGCAGAAAGCTTAAATTAGGACATTTCTTCTAGCTGCATCTGGTTCTAGACCAGATGGCAATAGTCAGGTTGACAGACCCAGCTCAGGTAGTGTCCAAAAGGACAAAAACAGTTAAAGCAAATAAATTGGGAAGAGGTTTTAATATTGGGTTTCACCCCCAAATAGCCTCAGATTTTGAATGTGGAGTTCAGGTTTTTTGGACAGGAAAAGAGGAGAACAGAACAAGGAGGAATTACACTAAATAAAAAAAAGTAGGATGATAGACTTTAAAGGAGGAAGAAATTACTTAATGAAGAGTGAGAAACTAACCAAACCTCACCATCTCAGTATTCTGCATATAGTAATGATTAGGTGACATTAGACCAGCTAAATTCTGTACAGGAGATGGTGCCAGAAGAACTATTTGAAGGGAAGGAGGGGACCCATGGGGTTGTGTTTGTTTTTAGTGTTAATTCTACAAAAGGCATCAGCACCATGATGGATCCTCAGACATTTTCAGCCTCTCTCTCCACTCCCAACAATATCTACAAGATTCTCTCATAATCCAAATTAAATAAGATTAAAGACAGATGAAAGCTCTCTAATGGGGTATTTCTGCATTATCATCCAGTCATGAGCTCTTCTTAAAACCATGGTGATTGTCTTACCTTGGCAAGTTGGAAGTTTACTCCATTCAACTTGATCTCCGTTAAGGAAACACTGGATGAAAGGTCGCCCGCTTACTCGGTATCTAAAGAAAAGAAAGAAAAAAAAAGTTTCTTAATTCTCTAAGTGCTCCTGTAATAGTCCATGAATTTGGGAAACGGGTTCTTTCTGCCAGTAAAAGAAGGCATTAACTACTGAGTAAGGTGATTCCTGCTCTAGAAGAACCAGCATGATCACTGTAACCAGACAATGCTGAGTAGCAATCCCAAGTAATTAAAGCCAATTTAGAACAAGCAAATCGGTGCATATAAGATTGCAAAGACCAAGTTTACAGGAGAAATTTTTCACCTTAAAGTCTATACTAACCAGATGCTTGGAATTTCTGGGCGATATCTTTGTTAAATCTTTAACAAGTGAAACAAATAGGTCTCTCTCCTCTCGGTATCATTTTAGCGCCTCTTATTTCTTGCATCTCCAGCAGGTGGAAGAAGTCCTTAAACCAGTTCCTGAATTTGAAGCATGTCAAGTGAACTAGCAGTTTTTAGACTGTTCATCTTCTCAAAAAGTTTTCACATGGGTCAAAGGGGTTTGGACTTGTGAGTAGGAGAATGTCTCTCCTCTTAGTTCCAATCTGTAGAACAGTGTTCAAGAGGTGTGCCATTAGCATGCTATACCTTCACCATATAAATGGAGGTGGGACTCCTTGGCTCAGACTGCTAAATTCCACCACTCCTCCTCCTATTTTACATCTGGTATTCTACCACAGTCAACAGCGCTCCATTGCCAACACCATTTAGCTAGACGTCTAGCTGATTCCTAGCCAGGAAGTATTGAATACTGGCAATTAAGTCATTTGGTTTTCACTACGTTTTACTTTTTAACACTGTAGGCTAAAGGTCGTGGCCTTCTATGCTAGAGTTTTAGAAAGGAGA